AACTGCACCAAGTAATTCATGAGGAATCCACCCCCAGGACCTAAACACCTCCCCTCAGACTCCGCCTCCAGCACCGGGGATCAAATTTCAAAATGAGGGTCAAATATCCAGTAAATACTTGCTATTATTTGTTAACAGGAAATATTTACTGTTACTGTATTTGGAGGGTGGGCTATCCAAACTACAGCAATAAATAATCGGTTAATTAAATAAACATTCTATCTTATACACATGTACATTGTTTTGATATTCTGTAACAGCTATTACTTTTGTAACTTTAAAACATTTTATTAAAATTATTCAAAGTTTCATGTACAGTGAGGCTACTGAAAATAGTTCAACTAATTTAAACAAAAAAAGTGGTGAGAGAGGGGTATATAATCATTAGGAACATTGTATTTGTTGCATTTCTGATTTTCCCAGAGACCAAGAAGTGAGTTTAAAGGACAAGAGGGAAATTTGTAAATAACTATATTAGAGAAAATTTTCTGAGACTCCAGAATAATTTATAATTTGCAAAAATATAAAAAGCCTGAAGTCTCCAGACAGTTTCTAGGAGCCAAAATGTAACCTCTTTGTGGCTTACCTCTAGAGAATTTATCTGTCCTTACACCTACTAGTTTGAAAGTGTTCAAACTTGCTTTGTTTGATCCATATGTTTTCATTATTTCGATTGTGATTGAGTCAAGCTATAAGTCCTAATAGATGCATTATAAAGTTTCATTGTGGCAACAAAGCACATTCTGTCAAGTTTAGATGTACAATTGGCCTTTCTGTGACCCAGTCCTTGGGCTTATGATGGGATAAGTTTGGATGTGAATCCACCTGATAATGAGGGCTCTTGGTAAATTTGTGACTAATATATTTTAGACAGGGTCTGTAGTGATCAATCCATATTGATTCTTCTGTCTAAATATTACTTGAGCAAAGTTACAGCGACATCTAAAAATAAGCTCTTTCACAGCCCTATGTGTCTTAAATATCTTTATAGTATTTGTTTTGTCCAAATCTTTGCAATCACCTCAAATCTCCAGAATTCATCCATAAATCATTCTAAATGGTTCGATAAGTTGTGAACTTACTTCCTAATACCTTGTAAACCTGCATTTCATGTCTCTACTGGGTAGCTCATAATCAATAGCTGTTTCTTCACTACTCCCCAGCTTGTTCAGATCTGTTTCCTTTGGGAGGCAGATTTTAAGAGTTCAGGATTGCATGATTCTTGCATGCAACTTAGAGCTCCTTCTTGTTTATTAGCAGTTATATTTCTTTCTCTAGCTCCATTTTCTCTTGATGCAGTCATAAAAATACCATCTGTTTTTTTATCATCATTTTAATTCTGTTTTGCCCTCCCTGTACTTCACTGTTCCCTGAATGCTTTAGCGATGGCAAATTATTCCTGATTTGTTATCCACCTGCTTTTACAGCCTTCCCCTTCCACTTCGTCGCCTCCCCAACCCGACCTGGATTTTCTTATCTGTGGAGTGTTATAACATAGCTCTTTAGGACACAGCTTGACCATTTGTGCATGTTGAGCCTTGGTTACTTGACTATTATAAGCCTTGATTTCTTCATTCTTAAGAAGGAAATGGTTATAATACTACATAGGGCTGTTTGAAGGTGTATATAAAATAATTTCACTTCAGGGTTTCTCAGCCTCAGCACTATTGACATCTGGGACTGAGTCCTTCTTTGTTTAGAGGCTGTCTTGGTCACTGTAGGATGTTCAGCAGAATTCCAGTCGCAAACCCTTTCCCAGTTATGACAAGCAAAAATGTCTCCAGACATTGCCAGATGTCCCAGAAGGCAAAACTGTCCCCATGCAGAAGCACTGATGTACATAAAACATTCGGCACAGTGTCTGGTACATAGTAGGGACCTGATAAATATTTCTGATGGATGGGTGGTCAGATGGATGAATGAGTATTCATTTGTATTACAGGTGTCTGTTATAAAGCTTGACACTCAATTAAAGGCTTAATACATGAATGGATATACAAATAGCCTGAGGCAAATGAGCTTCAAGGAGCCTCTGTCATTTCTGCCTTAAATGAAAATGTGGTATCTTCACTAAATGCAAGACTCTTATATTTCAAAAAATATGTTAGACAATTAACTAATTGCAGAGCTTAAGCTACTATCCTATTTATTATATATACACATATAGTCTAAATATCAGGGAGATTCCTTTTTATACTCAAATATATAAGAGCTATAACTATTATGTTGCAGTAGAGAATTCAGTGCTAAATATGGAAGTGATTCCTTAATTAATTAAAGAGTGTTTTATGTTTTTGCTATTGTGGATAATGCTGCAATAAACATATGTGTTAAAGAACTCAATAAATATTTTTGGAAGGATGAGTAAATGCCAAAAGGGAATATTTTAAGTTGATAACCCAGTACATTATCCTTTAATGTGGTCAGAAAACAAAGCTCAAACTACTTTTAAGTTGTTTTAAATTTAAATTTAATCTATACATATTTATTGAGTGTCTACCACATTCAGGTACTTGGATACATTAGTGAACAAAACAAGGATCCAACGCTGTGGGGCCTCCATTCTATAAAGTAATGGACCACAAAAATAATAAGTACATAAATAAAAATAAAAGGAAAGAATATTAGCCTAGGAAATATTCTAGGTGATACTGACAGCAAGACTCCAGTGGATGACTGTGATCCCACCAGAAGCACTTGTGTGACTGAGTTCACCGTTTACCATTTGGTTGCTCATCTGTGACTTCATTTCACTGAACTCTGACTTTCTCATCTGATCTGAATTACAATGAGGATATTAAATCAAATCTGTGGTTACCTTTGCATATTTTGGAACTTCAAACATTGAGATTATGATTCACTGTGTGCATAACTTTTGAAATTGCCTCAAATCAACAGTATTCCTTGTACTTTCTCTAAGTTTCCAATATACTAATGGACTAAGTTTATAGCATGGTTTTTGTGCTGTAGTCCAATAAATCAGCAAGTGTTTTGTTTTTGCTGTTTTTTAGCTACATACAGTACATGCTTTTGCCCCATACTTTTATAATCTGTAAAGTAGGATCTGTGGAATACCTAATTCATAAACTTGTTATGAGAATTAAATAAGTTAATGTTTGTAAAAAAACTTAGAACCAAAGAAAATGCGAGGCACATAGTAAGTTTTAAATGTTATACTTTCTGCACCCCTGGTAGCCATTTACTTATTTCTATTGTTTAAAATATTTTAACATAGTAAATGAGGAATTATGTCTTTCTTTTTCCTTTCTACATTTGGGAGACAGCAGGATTACAACAAAATAAAAGCAAATGTATGTCCAGCAGTGCCAGATAAGTAATGTCTCTTTGTCTTCAAAGCACTAGCTTTAGGAATAAATCCCTCCAAGTACTAAAAACCAAGAGGTAACTCGTTTTATAAAGCTTTTTTGATTGCAAAAGGCATATTTATTGCTATAAAATTCCAACATTACAGAAATTAATAATTTAGAAAGTGAAAAGTCACCCAACTCATCACCCTTAAAGATCATGGTAATAATCACATTTCTCCAAATCTATACTAATATATTATTTTTATTAAATTAAGATAACATTACACATACGATTTTTAACTGGCTTTCTTCACTTAAAATATATCTTAGGTGCCTATGTCAGCACATTTAGTTCTTCCTCCAAAGGCTGCCTAGAGCAGCAACTCAAGGATGCACTTGTGGCGCTCTGAGCACATGCCCACAGAATTGCATAGCATTAGATCTGATCAAAAAAGTCCTTCAGCCAGATCCTTGCTCTGCCAGTCGCTGGTCCTTCCCTCTCTAAGCACTGACCCAAAAAATGGCATCGGCAGAGTGACTTGGTAGATCTTCTGGGTTCACCCCAGGAGAACAGACCTTTCTCTGAACAGGGAGAATGATGAGCTGAATGAGGGACATGCGTTCCTGCAACAGAAGGCAAAGGAAATGTTACAGATGCAACATCCTTGAAGTGGAACTCTTCAGAGTGTGGAAGTCCTGTCATGCACAGCTCCCTTGAGGCCAAATTGAAATTTTATTTGAGGTTGTTGAAGTTAAGCTAACTTTTATCAAAATTGCTACAGGAGGCCATTCATCCCCACTTCACTTTTCCCACTTCAAAGCCTAATTCCCATCACTGAGATATTTACTCTTGAAGTGATTACATCTTCTTTTATCTTTTCTACATTTTTATTAGCTGCTGTTTTTCTCCTTTTTGCTTACAAAAAGTCAGGCATTTTTCAAACCAGACGCCAGTATGTCAAGTGTCAGTATGCCAAATATTAAATATTCATCAATGTACAATGTTTAAAATGATATAACCTGTTGTAACCAATGTAATATTTAATTTGTGTGCCAAACTTATGCATAATTGATGGACCAGGTATAAAGAGTCCTCAATACAGAAAGCATGGAGTGTTCAGCTTAGCTGAGGCCTTTGTTAAATAGTATGCAAATTTGTGGATGCCACACTGGGGGATTTGGGGCACAAAGGAGTTACAAACTTGCTTGGCAAGAAAACAAGAGACGTGATTATACCTAGCAGCACTATCACAACCGGACAGACTATGAGACCCCCATCACATCAAGAAGACTCCATGGTTGGGAGGCTGAGGCAGAAGCTTCTTTTGTTAACAGAGACACCCATGAAGTCAGAGATGTCATAAAAGGCTGCCCCACGGCCCTCAGGTGCCCTGGAACCTTAACCTTTCTGAAGGTCCTTGTTCAATTTGTTGAAAGTTAAATAGTATTGGTTCAAAACTGCCTGGGTAAAGCACAGAATAGCTAGAGGGCCAGAACTCCAGCAGTAGGCAGGTCCTGTTCTCTGCCTTTCACTCTTCAGACAACACAGAGCCCCGGTGACATCAGTAAGGGTGGGGTTCAAGATCTGTCTATTTGTGCCCCGAACAGGTCAAAGTGAACTTCTCAGAAATATCGTTTGGAGAAATACCAAGTCCTAGTTGCACTCATTATGGATGTTTCTGTCTCTTTCAGATACTATTGTTCTTATTGCTTCAATAGCAGTTGTTTCTGCAAAAACTCAGGGTAATATCTTTGCCACGTCTGCACTGAGAAGTCTCCGTTTCCTGCAGATCCTGCGCATGGTGCGCATGGACCGGAGGGGAGGCACTTGGAAGTTACTAGGCTCAGTGGTTTATGCTCACAGCAAGGTAAGAGTCACTCTCTGAGTTCTAGAACAAAACTGTTGAAACTTTTTCATTGATTGCTGTAATATTTCATAAACCTTTAACAAGCAAACTTAGCTGTTTCAGAAATTAAAGCAATTTTGGGATGTGAATTACTTAGAAGCCATCATAAACATCCAAGTTGTAAAGTAAATGAAATCACATGTTCCTTCCACCTCTAAAATCATTCATTTCTTGTTTATCTAGGAATTAATCACAGCTTGGTACATAGGATTTCTGGTTCTTATTTTTTCATCTTTCCTTGTCTATCTGGTGGAGAAGGATGCCAATAAAGAGTTTTCTACATATGCAGATGCTCTCTGGTGGGGCACAGTAAGTACAAAAATCTTTTTGTTTGTTGGATGCTTGTTTTCTTTAAATGCATGTAATGGTTCCTATGGATGGTCTTTATTTTTTTAAAGATGTGGGGTACAGTTCAGGATTAGGTATAAAAGAGGTCATCGCAGAGGTGAAGTCTGGGCCTCCCTTTGGTTCCTACTTTGCCTAGTTTGAGATCAGGTATCCTTATTGATGTTATGTACTCCTCGACTCCCTCGCTCCCCTAGCAATGTTCCACTACTGTCGATCCCTTTCTAATAGTCTTATGGTAAATGCTCAGGGTCCAATTATGAGTGAGAACATGTGGTACTCAGTTCTTTGTTTCTGTAATAGATCACTGAGCTTTATAGACTCTAAATCCATCCAAGTTGCTGTGAAGTCCATATGTTTGTCCTTCTTTATGGCTGCATACTGTTCTATCGTGTATATGTACCACATTTCTTATCCAGTCCAGTTTCAATGGGCAGCACAGTTGGTTCGATGTTTTTTGCTATTGTGAATAATGCTGCAGTAAACATTCGTGTTCACGTATTTTTTGGCAGATGATTTGAGTTCCTCTGGGTATACTCCCTGTAGGGGGATTCTTGGGTCAATGTCCAGTTCTTTTAGAAATCACCACATTGTTTTCCAAAGAGGTTGCACTAGTTTGCATTCCCACCAGCAGTGTAGAAGCGTTCCTTTTTCTCTGCATCCTCGCCAGCATGTGCTGTTGTTTTATTAATGATGGCCATTCTTACTGGAGTTAGGTGGTATCCCAATGTAGTATTGATTGGCATTTCTCTGATGATTATTGAAGCTGAGCACTTTTTCATGTGTCTGTTTGCTACCCATATGTCTTCTTTTGAGAAGTGTCTATTAATATATTTTGCTCACTTTTTAATGAAACTTTGTTTTCTCCCTTCGGCACTTTTGAGCTCCTTATAGATCCTGGATGTTAAACCTTTGTCAGATACACAGCTGGCATGTTTTTTTTTTCCCATTTTGTGAGCTGTCTCTCTGCTCTCTTGATGACTTCTTTTGCTTTGCAGAAGCTTTTCAGTTTGATGAGGTCCCACTTGCCTATCTTATCTCTCATGGTATGGACACCTAGTGTTTTGTTCATTTTTTATGGCTATTCGTTGCCTACTCTGATTCTTAGAAGAGTGTCTCCTGTGTTTTCTAATACTCATATAGTTTGAAGTTTTATGTTTAAGTCTTTGATCCATTTAGAGTTGATTTCTGTATGTGGTGATAGATTGGGATCTTGTTTCAATCTTCTGCATGTGATCAGCTAGTTTTCCCAGCACCATTTACTGACAAGGTTCTCCTCTCCCTAGTAGTTGTTACAGGAGGCTTTATTGAAGATGAGTTGGTTGAGAAATTGAAGTTTGACTTCAGGCGTTTCTATCCTGTTCCATTAGTCTATATGCCTGTTCTTGTACCAATACCAGGCTGTTTTGATTATTGTATCCTTACAGTAAAGTTTAAAGTCTGAAAGTGTGATATCTCCTGCTTTGTTTCTTTTGCTGAGGATTGTTTTGGCTATTTGTGGTCGTTTATCTTTCCATATGAATTTTTGTTAGACATTTTCAGGTCTGAGAAGAATGATGTTGGTAATTTAATGGGAATTGCATTGAATCTCTAGATTGTTTTTGGTAGGATGAATATCTTAACAATGTTGGTTCTTCCTATTTATGAAAATGGAATATTTTTTCCATTTGTTTGTGTTTTCTTGGATTTCTTTGGGTAGTGTATTGTAGTTTTCATTTTAAATGTCTCACTTCTCTAGTTAAGAAAATGCTGAGGTATTTCATTTTTTATGGCTATTGTGAATGGGATTGTGCTTTTTATTTGGTTCTCTGTCTGCTTGTTGTTGGTGTATAAGAATATGACTGTCTTTTGCCATTTATTTTGTACCCTGAAACTTTGCCAAAGTCCTTTATCGGTTCAAGGAGGTTTTTTGATGGATTATCTTGGATTTTCGAGGTATAGGATCATATTGTCAGCAAAGAAGGATAACATAACTTCCTCTTTTCCTATTTGAATATGCCTGATTTCCTTCTCTTGTCTAATTGCTCTAGCTAGGACTCCCAACATAATGTTGAACAGGAGGGGTGAGAGTGGGCAGCCTTGTCTTTTTCTGGTTTCCTAGGGAAATGCTTCCAGTTTCTGTCCATTTAGCAATATGTTGGCTGTGAGTTTATCGTAGATGGCACTTACTATTTTGAGGTATGTTTCTTCTATGCCTAGATATTCAAAGGTTTTTATCAAGAAGGAATGCTGGATTTTATCAAAAGCTTTTTCTGCATCTAATGATATAATCATGTGGTTCTTGTTTTTACATCTGTTGATGTATTTAATTACATTTATGGTCTTGTGAATGTTGAACTAACCCTGCATCCTAGGGCTGACACCTACTTGGTCATGGTGGATGATTTTTGAGATGTGTTTTTAGATGTGAGTTGCTAGACTCCTGTTGAGAATTTTTCATATTTGTTCATCAGGAATATTCGCCTGTAGTTCTCTTTTTTTGTTGGATCTTTCTTCAGTTTGGGTATCAGTGTGATGTTAGCATCGTAAAATGATTTGGGGAGAGTTCCATCTTTCTCAATTGCCTGGGATACTTTCAATAGGATTGGTATCAGCTTCTCCTCACATTTTTTATAGTATTCCAATTTTTTTATAAGTAGTTTTCTTATGATGGAGTCAGTTTCCTGGGTTGTTATTGGTCTATTTAGTGTCTCAATGTCTTGTTTCAACCTTAGGAGGTTGTGTGAGATGTCAGAGGTCCTCCATTTCACTTAGGTTATCGAGTTTGCTTCCATACAGGTGTGCATAGTAATCGCTGATAATCTTTTGTATTTCTTCGGGGTCAGTTGTGATTTGATCTTTTGTGTTTCTGATTGTGTTTATATGGGCTTTTTCTCTCTTTTTTCTTGGTCATTCTGGCTAGGAGTCCATGTATCTTGTTTATCCATTCAAATAACCAGCTTTTTTATTTGTTGATTTTTTTTATATGATACTTTTGTCTTCTATGTCCCATATTTGGGATCTAACTTTGGTGTTCTGGAGTCTTCTGTTGATATTAGGGTTTTGGGGGTCTTGTCTTTCTAGCTCCCTTAGGTGTTTTGAATACTGTTAACTTGTGATCTTCCATTTTCTTGATGTGTGTTCATAGAGATATGAATTCCCCTCTTGGAACTGTTTTCATGGCATCCCAGAGGGTTTGGTAAGCTGTTTATTTGTTTTCTTTTGTTTCCAGGAATGCTTTAATTTCTGTTTTGATTTCTGTGTTGACCTAGGAGTTGTTCAACATCATGCTGCTTCGTGTTCATGTCTTTGTGAGTTTAGGGAAATTTTGTTGATGTTGATATTTATTTTTATTACAGTGTGGTCTGAGAAGGTGCGTGGCAGCATTTCAGTCATAAAATTTGTTTATGCTTGATTTATGGTCTAGGATGTGATCAGTCTTGGAGTATGTTCCATGTAGTGATAAATAAAATGCATATTCAGTCATTGTTGAATCCATTTGGACAAGCATCAAATTGAGATTCCAGATCTCTTTGTTGTTTTTGTTTGTTTGTTTGTTTGTTTTTGCCCTGATAATCTATCTAGGGTTGTTAGTGGGATATTTATGTCCTCAGCTATGATAGTGCTAGAGTCAATATCTTTTTTACTTTTACTTAGCAGTTGCTTTATAAATGCTGGTGCTCCTATGTTGGGTGCATATATGTTTAGGATGGATATTTCTTGTTGATAAATTGAATATTTTATCATTATGTAGTGTCCTTCTGCATCTTTTTAAATTTTTGATAACTTAAAGGTTGTTTTGTCTGATACTAAGATCACGACTCCTGCCTTATTTGTGATCCATTTGCCTGGAAATTCGTTTTTCATCCTCTAACTTTTAATATGTGTGCATCCTTTGTGGTATGATGAGTTTTCTGGATGCAGCAAATTTATTGGGTTGTGTTTTTTAATCCAGTTTTCCAGGCTATGTCTTTTCAGTGGTACATTTAGTCCATTCAGTTTCAAGCTGATTATCAAAATGTGAGTGTTTATGCCCATCATTAGGTTCTTATAAAGTTTTATCTTTGTTTTTTTATCTTTTGGGTCGATGTATGTGTGTGTTTTCAAGTTTTCAGACACAATATACTCTCTGTTGATCTGTGTTCTCCTGTTCTCTTTAAGTGTGTGGCCATTCTTTTTTTTCCCCTGTACTTATTTACTTTTTGAGCATCTCTGTAGAGCTGGTCTAGAAGCTGCCTAACCTCTTATGGATTGGATCTCTGGGAAGGATTTTAATTCTCCATCACTGATGAAGCTGAGCTTTACTGGGTAGAAAATTCTTGATTAAAATTGTTTATCTTTGAGAGCTTTGAAATTGAACTCCTGTCCCTTCTAACTTGTAGTGTTTCTGCCAGTAGGTCTGTTGCTATTCTGATTAGTCTTCCCCAGTAGGTAGTCTGACCATTCTCTCTTGCTGCCTTTAGGATTTTTTCTTTTGTACCTACTTTGTGTAGGTGAATTACTATGCTTCTAGAGGTTGATCTTCTTTTTTGATGTCTTGCAGGTGTTTTCTGTATCTCTTGTTTTTGGATGGTCACCTCTGTGATGAGATGTGGAAAGTTTTATTGGATAACCTCCTAGAATATTTTCTCCAAGGTGTTCTCCATTTTTCGCTCTTCTTCTGGAACAAATCAGGCATAGGTTTGGCCTCTTAATATAATCACACATCTTTTCGAAGCTTTGTTCTTTCTTTCTGAGTTTTCTTGCTTTTTTTTTTTTACAGATTTGGTTCATTCCATGCTTTGGTCTTTAAGCACTGATATTCTTCCTTCTGCTGATTAATTCTGCTTTCCATGTTTGTCATTTTGTTATTTATTTTCTGAAGTTTTTATGGCCCAAAATCTCAGTTACAAGTTCTTTCAGTGTTACAGCTTGTCTTTTTTGAGTCTTATGCACTCTTTCCATCCTAATCCCTGTTGTGTTCTGGGGCCAGTTGTTGATGACTT